AGAGAGAGAGAGAGAGAGAGAGAGAGAAAGGGAGAAAGGGAAAGAGAAAAAAGCAACGAGAACTTCAACGACAGGCTCCAGCGAGATGCCCACGCGCTCGTCGATGTCCTCCCGAAGCGATTTATTATCGAGAACCGGTGTACGTTCGGGAGCGTCGAGGCCGAGGAAATAACACGTGCGATCAGAGCGTGCGCTGGAGCGAGCGAATGACCGAGTTAAGTGAAGAAGAGTCGTACCAGCCGTCCCGCCAGCCGGCCGTCCAAATGTTATTGTTTATTGTGGCCCAACGACAGCTTGATTTATCATGCGAGCCGGCCATAGCCATGCGTGAAATAGTGGCATAATCCCGTTGATTTGTGGCTACCATTGTTCGCGCTACCACTCTGCTGAAAGTATTTTTCTTTTTTCTTTTTTTTTTGTTTTTTGTTTTTTTTTTGTCTATTTTTTCGTTCCTTTTTTTTTTCGTTTTACACTCGATTATTGTCTCTCGCGCTCGACTCGACTTTTCGCGTTTCCCGAATACGAACGATTTCCTCTCCACTCCTTCCAAAACTCCTTTCTTTCTCGCAATCGTGACAAGGTTTTTCATCCGAGGATACGAAAATTCACGCTTCGATCCACGGATACGCAACACCCGTGTCCCGCTATGCGTTCTTTGATCTCTCCTTGGCTCGCGGCTATCGATAAATTGCCAAGATGACGCGATAACGACAGGGCGACGCCGGGTTGGATGCGAGCACGTAATTTGTCGAGGATAACTATAGTCCTTAGAGCGGCGATGTCGGTTTTCTGGCCGGTAATGCAAGCACGAGAACGTTGCGCGAGAAAATCGAACTGCTCGCTCGATTTTTACGACAGTTATTTCGTAATTATAACGTTTATTTACGCGAGATCGTACTTCGTCGACGAGAAGATGGCGACTGAGGAAAGTGCTATTGCCCTCCCCACTCTATTTGCCGAAACAGTTATATTTACAACCACGTTGCCCGAAAGACGCGAACGAAGATAAACACAAACAATGACTCATCGTGTAAATTCATATTATAAACCTGATAAACTATAAATATATTGAACGCAAAAACGTATCCTTATTTGTAAGAATTAGAAAATCTTATATCGTGATATCGTGACGCGTTAACGCCAACACGAAAAGTTTTACGAGAAATTAAAACTCTTGCTGCTCTCTCGTCACGCGTTCACGCGCTTTCATCTTTTTTCCACGCGTAGAAGAATAATCGATAATTATTATACCATACCGTTTCTGTTCCGAAGAGATAACCATGATGCGAAAATTTCTGGTGAAAAAAAAGAAACAAGAGCAGTGTTCGATGGTAGATGCTGCTGTCAAGGGTCGAGTGACAAACAACTCGCGAGACTTTGAACTCGGTAAGTGGCTTGTTCTCTCGTGGGTAAGTAGCCGGTCGGTCATCGATAAGCCGACCTACTGTGCTTCTTACGCGGTCGCGTATTACGGCGCGAAACGACGGGCGGTCCCTTCCGTTTGACGAGAGCCATTCATCCTCATCCACCTACGTTGATACCCACACGTTTCAACCTTGTAACGCGCACGCAGCCACGCGTGTTCCTCCATTGTGCGTCCATCTATCACGTGTCACAAGTAACGCTGCCTCGATCGGGGTCGATGCTAGACCCGCTTTATAGCTTCGAAACGATTCCCCTTCTCCCCTTCTGCACAGTATCACGCTGGTAATACTTGGACGTTATTGCGTTTTCCATTCGCACTTTCCGCGACACGTAACGACACGAATAATCGATCGAACGTCCACGTTCGATGAGCGCTCTGTTCAACGAGGGACACGCGCTCTCCCCTGTGTGTGTGTGTGTGTGTGTGTGCGTGCGATTCGAAAACATCTCTGCGGTGGAAGGGCCTCTAGCGGCTCGAAACACAGGCCCTTTGGCGATGACCTGCCAACGGTTCGCGCATTAGCTCGACAGATAGCGCTGCCTAATCGGGCCTCATAAATTACCAAATTAATATCCCGCGTTGCCGACGCCGGGCTATCCGTCAGGTGTCAGCCGCGGTGCAGATAGCAGCCTCCACCTCCTCCGCTGTGCTCCCACAGTTTCCCTCCGCCATTCTCTCATCGTCTTCTCTCGCCAACCGCACCGATGACAAAGACGACCAGGACAACAATCGACGATGCACCCACGTTTTTTTCGCACGCTCACTCTTTCTCTCACCACTTTGATATCATACTGACGACCGCTATACGCTTCGCTTCGCTTCGTTTCGTTTCGTTTCGTTTCGTTTCGTTTCGTTGGAAGGAGTTCGTTGGTAACAAAGGATACGCTCGATTCGATCTTCCTTCCTTCTTATCCTCTCCTCATTCTCTTCTCTCTCTCTCTCTCTCATACACTTTGCCCCTCTCTCTCTCTCTCTCTCTTTCGCTTTCCGTCAGGCTGTCCGTTCCGTTTAACACGGCCACGCGCGACGCGTAAACGCATAAAGGGAAGCAGAGGCGAAAGGTGTTAAGAGGGGGTGGGTGCGCCACCACGCAGTGGCGTGGAACGTAAGCGCGAGCACGTTGATCTCTGGCGAGAAGATATTCGGATAAACGGGGAAGCAGAAGCAGAGGCGAGAGAGACACGGAGGAGGAGGAGGAGGAGGAGGAGGTCGGGTGGGAGCGTCGACGAAAGAAGGGGCAAGAACCGCTTACGAATTACGCGACGGGCAGCAGCCAGCTACACAAACCGGCTTCGAGAGCTACCTTTATGCGACACGGCTGCCAATTAGCGGGCTGACATCGACCTGACTGACCACCGTGCACTGCCAACCAGTCGTTTCTTCGCCTCGCATCCTCCTTCTCCTCCTTCCTCCTTCCTCCTTTTATCCGTCTCATCGTCATCGATCTGTCCCCGGCTTCTAGTCACGGACCCAGGTTTCTCTCTTCGCTTCGATCCAATCCCAGTTTTCCTACCCCTTTTTCCTCCTTCGTTCTCGACGCCTTCGTTCGAGAGCCGTTTCGTCGATCATCGAGGCGAACAGAGACGAACGATTCCACGGCCGCGCGTGGGACGTTCGTGGGATTCGCTCGACGATCGAATCTTGGACGAGTTTTTCGGCGCATCGGTGTTGGTAATTAATCGGCCGTTACTCGTGCAATTTATAATATAAGCAGCAGTCGCCGCGTCCTCGTACAAAGATACGAGAGAGAGAGAGAGGAGGGGAGGGAAGGGGGGGGGGCGAATACGCTTGGGTGGACGACGTGACGCTTGAAATCGTGGATCGATGCCGTTTCCTCGTTCGAATCGGTCCACCTATTATATACGATCGTTGGTGGGGAAGGCGAGCGAGCAAGGCAATAATTATTACGTATATGTCGGCCGGTATTATTCGGCCGGCCTTTTAAAATGTCAATAAAAAACTCGTACGAAGCCCGCTATCTTTGTCGTTTCCTCTTTTACGCCACCCTCCTCCTCCTCCTCCTCTTCCTCCTCCTCCTCCCTCCCTCCCTCCCTCCCTCCCTCCTCGCCGCTGTCTGCCCACAACCCTCGAGCGTCGCTTTCTTCTTACCCTTTTTTTTAATGCCGATGCAGCTGCACTCTTTTCAGAGGAGGAGGTCCCCGTCACGTTGCATTACGGAATGATATTTGCTAATTGGGCACGAAGATAAAACGACAACGGCGTGGCAACTAATAACGGCGTCCCTGCATCCTACACCACCTCCTCCTCCTTCTCCTCCCTTCGCGTAGCATCATCTCCGCGTAGTTTCTCTTCCGTCGACTCGGTCCCCGTGGGGAACGGATAATCACACGTTGAACCGCGTCTAGCCAACTAGCCGCAACACTTTGGGACGAACCATGCGTCGTATCGCCCTTACTATTCCCCTCCCCCCTCCCTTATATCTGCGCTCGTTTTATCGGTTCGCCAACTCTCGATTTTCTCTCTCTCTCTCTCACTCTGTTACTCTTCTTTCCGTCTTGCCAACGGTTGGCGCGAGGAACGAGTTTCGTCCCGTACCTTTCCAATTTCCACCCGATTATCCATCTCGAAAGGCGCGGCAAAGAGTAAGGTACAGCAGGTATATATATATATTCTCGGCCGAGACACGTTCGACTCGGGAATTCCAAGTTGTCGTTTTGTCGGTCGGTGGTGAGGCGACTCGTGTAGGTACGGCCCTGAAGCGGTAATAAAAATGAGGGGAGCAGGAACGTGTGGCTCGATCTGACGGCTGATGGAGACGTCTTCGTTCCAGACAGACGCTTCGGACGTTCGCGACGTTTGATCGACGGTTCCTCTCCTCCTTTCGCATACGTTGCTCCCGATCGTCCTCTTTCGCTCTTTCTCTTTCTCTCTCTCTCTCTCCTCTCCTCGTCCTGTCTCGTCTCGTTTCGTCTCGTCCCCGGCCCCGTCTTCCTTCACTCGTCTCTTCTCGGTTCTCGCGCTTCTCGCGTCATCTCGCGTCCCTCTTTCTTCCTTCTCCGTCCGTCTTCTTAACTCCTTCTTCCTTCCTCCACCTCCGGACTCGATTCTCCAGTCACTCACAGTCAGTCAGTCCTGCGCTCAGAGAAGGCACTTCGCGCCCCGCCGTTCATCGTTCGTGTTTTTGCCGGGCCGCCTATAAATAGGCTAGCCGCGCGGTTCCCTCGTCCCCGCTCCGTGCCTGCCGCGCTTTCTCGCGCGTCACGAGCTCTCGTCATCGCGTTCAAGGTCGACCAACCAAACAAAACCCAACCGAAAATTCGTCCTTTGTCTCTCTTTCTTCCCCCCTCCCCCTCCTGTTTTTTATCGCTCGAGATCTTGCCATTCGTGGATCGTTCGATTTTCCGCCAATCCAAGTCCGTCTAACCATCATTACCACCACCACCACCACCACCACTACCATCGCCACTACCACGTCTAACTGGTATTCCGGTAAACATTGGACGTTCGTTCTCATAACGGCAGTTCCGAAACGCGAAGTTACGAATAGAAGTTGCGCGCGATGCGAGTCGGTTGCGAGATGAAAAGGGGGGTTGCGCGGGTTGTTGGCGCGCGTTATGGGCAAAGATACGGTCGGCCCCGAAGGAAAGTCGTTGGGGGAAAGGAGGGGGGAGTTGGTGGTGAAAGGCCAGGGCGAAGCAGCGGGCGCGGTACAACACGCCGGGTGCTGCACAACTTGATAATAATAAACTGAAAAAGGAGCAAAGGGCGTTATTTTAAAAGGGAATGCAGCGCCGCATTTTTATGTCTTCGCCAGAACTTTTCATCTCTCGCGTGCGCGCCACCGGTAAAATGGGTCGCTCGGGGGGGGGGGAGGCGAAGGAGGAGGAGGAGGAGGATGAAGGGGGGAAGCGCCAAGGGAATCGCGGCTATCCGTGGAGCAGGGGCAACCTGGAGCCGCCACGGGTTGAAGCGTTACGCGGACGACCCGAGAAGAGACACCCTCCCGTAGAGCAGCGTAGAGGGATAGGTGAAACGAGGGCGAGGCGAGCAGCCAAGGGGGGGGCGAGAGGGGTGTTTTGGCCGGGGGTAGGGAGGCTAAA